AGGGTTAAGTTCCAAAATGCAGCTACGCAGGCAATGATATGAATGGTACAAGGTTAACTCTAGACTCGAACGACTTTTATAAAAAACAGGCATTCATACGCCACAATCAGGTATGACATTTTCGATCCAGACACGACCCACAAGGTCCGACTTGCAGCACTTAAGTACCAAACAGAAAGTAACGTGAGATTTGTTAAAATGCGTATTTATCGTCACGAACTCGGTAACATGTCAAGATCTACACAAAGCTCTTTTCTGGACAGCTGCCCGACTGTTCTTTCCCACCGACGGGCACACGCCATTAAAGGCGTAGAACCCCTACAGTAAACGTAGTTTAACTCTCCAAATAACAAACGCCCACACCAGCGGGAAAGGGAGTGAATTTGGTAGTTGTTGCCCTCAAACTCACCAACTTAATGAATGCATAAGGATGATCCAAAAGACACTCAAAATAACAAAGTCAAAAGCGAAATCAGCGAAATGAACAGGCATTATTTTACCTTTGGGAAACGCCCTTGTGGCACTTTACTCCGACCCGAATGCTTGCCACTTCAAAGAAGGTTACTGTGCAACCATCACAACCCATGATAGATTTATTAATTTAAGCAAGAAATCTTTACGAAAACAATTTGGCTAACAATCAGTGACTTAAATTAATAGACGGATGGCTCATGTATAAGTGACGTTTGAAATGCTACATATTGTCATCGTTACTGAGTAATATTTCCGTTTTCCTATTATGTGGATTAAATTGTACCTGCTTCTATTTAAAAGGTTGATTTAAAAGAAGAGCACGATCAAATAGCCTATACTTCATTCATTAACTCAGCAAAATTCGATGATTATACCAAAAAACTAAACACACTTCTCGGTTTGAAGGAGTCGAAAGAACCTCAGTTCCACTTCCGCAGAAATCACTGGAGAGTACAACCATACGAGCCAGTAGAAGTGCAATTGAGCACTCCAAACGTGCTACGCTTGTGGCTTGCCAGAAAGAGGACAATTCCTCTTATCTCCTTGCAGCATGTTCCTACGGTGGTGGGATCACTAAGAGACCCAAAGGACTTTAACTTCCAGAAATGTAGCCTATATAATGAGAAGCTAACGATTTCGATGGATTCAGAACTAACGACAGTTGTTTCTTCTTTACTTTTCACTAAAAATAGCAACTAACAGCCGTAAAAGGGCGGTCAAAGACTGTCGAGATCGGGGCTAGTGATTTCACTCCAAAATGCCTCAAGTTGCATACATTTGTATAAAGGCCACCTTCTGCCCGGAGAGTCTACCGTACTGCTAATCGGAGTGCCACCACATCGTAAATTAAGGTTACATGCATATGAAGCAGGCGTGTGGCGGTGCGAAGTCACCAAGTCGTTATTCTACTGAGGCCACGTCACTAGGAGAGCTGAAAATGGATGGGCAAGTGTCCTCGGTGCCCATGATAAATAGTTGGGAACGTGTGGATCAGTTTTACTCTTGAAGGGCTATTTATGAAATTGCACTTCATTCATTCCAAATAATGAGAATGTTTAGTTTTTCTTTGCAGACCACCTCCAGAGTTTTGATGCACGAGAAAGTAGAGTTGTACGAAAAGCGTAAACAATGGGAGACAGCATGACCAGTGATAAAAATGTCCTGTTCGAAGAGATTGTCTTGGATGTGAACAAGACTGTCTCTTCTTTGGTAACAAGACTAACCAGTCGGTTTCAAATAAGCTTTCAAAAGTTAGTTTTCTGTGCCCTCCAACTAGTTCAGAACTTGCGGAACGGAACGATGCTACTGTCAGAGCCAAGCTTGTGCATGAACGATTTCAACCAAATCCACTCCACCCTTTGAACCGTAAGCAGGTTTTTTGGCTCTTAAGATAGGTGAGTATTACAAAAGACCACATAATTTCCTTAAACGATGAAAGGAGAGAAAACGACGTCTTCAATTCGACTAGCTGAAGACAGTCGTTTCAACAACAGTCCTCACTATTTAAATGCATCAATAGGGTTGTGAGCTTCAGATCTCAAGCAGCATGCAAACTTACATCCATCAATTTATCAGCTTTCATCAGTTTTCCCACTTTAATAACGGAGTTTCGCTGCTTCTTAAGCCATGTCTTCCACTAACTCAACTCCGAAGCGGTTCTATAATGCAGAATTGGGCTAACCCCATTTAAGGTGCATTCGCATGGCAGTAGTGAGCAAGAAGTCGAGTGTAGAAGAGAATCCTCCAAGCCAGTGATGCTGACGGCCTGGACGGCGATGCTCACAGTGCTGTTTTGACAGCACGGACCTTTAGTGCTATGGTTAAGTTATGATGGTGGAATGCATTTAGAACTATAAAAGGAATCTCAACATTGTTACCATCCTTTTCAGTGGCAAAATTTTAAGAATCTTGTGGAAAAGTGTCTAGCTTGAAAATATTAACTCTTAGATTTCCGAGCTGCTTTAAAGCCATCAAATTACGTTGAGAAAACAATGAATCCTCCAAGTTCAGGAGTGTTTAAAAATGGCTGTGAAATCTCAATATTTTAGGCATCGGTTATTGTACTCTTCTTATTCAGCATCACCTAACTGTACTATCCGCTTCCTAGCCCTAATGAAAACCCCCAAAACATTCTCATGGAAGTTAAAGACGATCGCAAACCGAAAAAGAGTTAACATAGCCAAGAATTTTTGGACACAATTTCATCCAATGCAATGACGTATATTTCACTTAAGGTAGATTTTGATGGCATGCCCTCTTCACGGATAAACTGCCTCACTACGGAAACTATGAAATATTAATAACGCTGGCAAAGTCGGCGACAAAGATGGTTTTGAGGTAAGGTAGAGGCAAGTAGTTGAACTTTGCCCAGACAAACTAAACAACCTCGAAGTGAGTGGTTAGTATACTTATAAGTTAGCAGTATATTGCTCGCATGTTGCTACTGATTTGCATACTCGTGCGGATAGGGCGTGAGTGCTCTTCGATGGTTAGCTAACGTCTAATTCGCGTTTACAAAACGTGCGCAATTTAGCACTAACTGGACAGACAACTGGATGGTCATTCGACTATGGTGCAAGAGGTAATAACCAACCGATAGTGGGCACATAAATTCGAAAGTAGTGCTACATTATATTAGGAATTCCAACATACTGAGGAAAGGAAAGCTCCTGGACTTAGTTCGTTGTAAGGCTTTACCTATGTAGCCACTTCTTCACTTTTGGTATACTTTGATTGGGCCGCGTTTACAGCTCAGTTGCAGACGATTTTCCTACTTGACTATATAGGTGATTGCACTTTTACGGTCTCTCAATGGTCAATCTAAGAAGAACAGTCTATACCTTCACCGATATCACAGGCTACTGTTCTCCGAAGCCACAGACATCATGACTTTTCAGAGAATGCTCGAGCTCTACGTAGGCAGCAGTAGGGCCAGACATGCCTGATTGTGCAGTGCAGCGCAAAATGCTGGAACGTCCTCATAGGTGGCTTATGGAATATAAGTGAAGGAAGTGAGTAAAACTGCGATAATCTGACGTGGCCTAAGCTATCAAAAATTTGCTATGGTAGTGGGAGAAGATTATCCGGTGCTTACAGTGAAACTTGACTAAACAAATATGACATTGAAAAAAATTCTGTAAAAATGTCTGCCATTACAAACAATTTCCTTTCTAACCTTCTTTTCCAATTACATGAAAGATTCTGTCGATAGAAGCAGAGGTCTTAACTCCATTAACATCACTTCCACTTTAATCAGCTGTCTACCTCCTTCCGCGTGAGGCTGTCTTAATGTCAGGGAACGATCACTATCACCGCTTGAAAAAATATCACCGGTGGATAGAGGAAGTAAAAATGATGTAGCATCTCTCGTCCTATCCAAAATTTGCAGTACAAGTCTTTCTTACCACAGACGCACTATTTGAATAGCTTTCCAACAAAGAAGTTTTACCCGCACACATTCTGGCTAGTACCAATGACATAACCCTTCATCACAACTGTTAACTCTAGTAATGAAATCAGTGTGAGTTTGCTGCCTGTTTGCTACGGATAAAGCTTAGAATTTTATTATACGTAGCAAGTGAATTGGATGGTGGCACATAACGTTGTGCTCGTTAGGTTTGCAAATTATACAACAAAAAGGCCCTCAGTTAGTAGGCCAGAAAGTGACTTAACATTTGTGGTACGCTTTTACAAAGTGACTGAGAGAAGTTATTTGGAGTTTATTTTCGACGGTTGTTAATAAATAGCATTTGGATAAATTCACTAGCTCAAACTGTGCCTCATACTTCGTTTACCGAAAGATGTAAATGCAAAAAATAGTTCAACCATTGAAAGGATGTTATTTAAGGTTTGGACTAGTGTGCACATTAGTTCTCAAGTACTGCGCACGGATTAGTGAAGTTACTGCAGGTCTGGAAACAACTTAATTTATATACAGAGCAGAAGGTCAGATCCCATCCATCAAGGTTAACTTTGAAGTAGTGACATGCGAGAGCGAAAGATCAAGGAAGTGGTGGAGAGCCCGAGTGCATAGATGGACACTCAGACCTCGTCGTTACAGGCCACCCACCTAAACAATGGCCTGCGTATCATAGGCCTCTAGGTATTACTACCAATCACTGGGTCCAGAAGCGCCAATTACCATGCCAACTTTTTATTCATCAAGGTCATCAATGGAATGACAATGGAAATGACCTATTTAAAACAGTTAGTCAGCGAATCGTTTGTGAGGCTCATATAAAATCAAGTGTGATTAGTGAATCCTAAGGATGTGATGTCTATCAATGTTATGCGGAGCTGTGAATAATTCAAGTCAGATAACAACAATAATGCCCAGCCGTAGGTTGAGTAGGATGCAATGCTATTACAGATCAGTTGGCCAACAACAAGTGGCAATAATTCCCTTCGATACAAAGGTGGGAGGTTTCCCCATGGGAATGATAGGTACTGTAGGACCAAAAGCAAATTGCAGAGCCTAGTCAAGCCTCCCACACTCGAAGAATCAAAGAGTAGTGAAATCAGAAGATTTAGACAGCATGAGCTTCCTCCTTACTTGAAGCAGTCATCTTTACCTTCAAAGTCTAGTGACAAAGTGATACATAAACGAATGTATGCTTAGAGATTAAATAAGAAAAAAAAGTCATTTACCTAAACAAAGCTATATGAAATCTTATTTGGATGATAGTATCATCGGATCTAGGTGGTCATATTTGCACAATAAAGCATACTTAGTTTCAAAGCAGATTTCCTGAAGAAGTAAGTCTGTATAGATGCCAGTAAACCAACGGAGGAAGTAACCACCCATTATGCACTTACCTTATCATGCAAAGCTCGCATTGCCTCCAAATCCATTTGCCGAACACCATGTCCAGTGGGAGAAAGGAAGTAGAAGCATGCATGGACCAGATCCTCTGGAAGTACTCCTAGACGTCCACCAGAACCCCCGCATCCGTTTCCTGTAGTGTCACGCTGTACTCGGGATTCAGCTTCCATAAAGTTTGCGTTACGACGATTGATCTCTTCCACAAGGAGACGCCAACAGGATGAGTTGTCAAGCGCCTCACCGTAGCCTGGAGCGTCAATGACAGTTAGGCGAAGGGATACATTCTGCTCCATTAGACTGAAGGTGTGTGAGGCAACAGAAGCAGCGATGGAGGCATCGTTGTAGAATCTGGCAGAGGGAGCCTGTCGATGGAAGGGCAAAGGGGTACAAGTAATAGCTGACTGAAAGTCAAAAATGGAGAATTCGACTAAAGTAGCAAAGTTTAATTGGTTAAAGACACCAAATGCACATTCATTGACGCGAGGGCGCGAAGTTAAAATAAAGACTACGGTTGGGCGATGAATTCGACAAATAAGCCTGTCTTGGCATTAAAATATGAGTAATGCACCCAATTATCGGGAACAGACGTCGGTTTAGACAGCGTTAATCAGGTTGAGAGATGATAGCGCTCGAGCGTGTGAGTTAGGAAGAGAATGAAGACACAAGAAAATTATTCGAATGGTAAAGGCGCGAAACCCAGAGCTGCCGACACCCAATCGCACAGGACACATCAAACATAATAGAGGACAGATCAACGATAATTAAAAACATCCAACAGAATATCCTTCGGTAGAAATTTTAGCGATGGCAGTTTCTAGCCTAAACCCATGAGACTTCACTCCAGGAAGACCTAATTCTCTATGCCTGACTGACTCAACCTTGCGCGCGACTAAATCACACAAGAGACGAACGGTTCCGTGAGACCGGTGAGGGCAAACATCAATAGCAAATACTCATTGATCGGAAAAGCTAACAACGTGAAGCAGTATCTCTTCGATTTCGTCCATCATAGACGAAATATGAGAAGGTTAATTTAGACCAGAAATTAACTCAGACATCAAAGCTGTAGAATCTCGCTGATTCGGCGTTTATGAGAAAGTTAACGCACCTAACCTGAAATAGCTTTGCTGTGCAAACATTGAAAGCTGTAGCATATGCTCACTTCACGTGCACTCGAATGTCCACTGCATTAACCAGAACTTATTAAATACTCTTAATCATGAGACAACGTAAGGGAACATAGATTGCTCGGAATGGAGATCAGGTAAAGGTCTAACGTGGAAACATATTAGAACCGGAGCACACTTACCGTTGGGAGTCTAGTCGATCCATTGCAACCACTAAAAAACACGGAAATCGTCAAAAAATCAGGATCAATTTGGCCTAATGTCTTGGCAACGAAATTTCTAATGCTCTGCTGAATCGCAGAGCAAAGTCAAATGAAGCATGATCTGGAGGATAATGATCCAATGAGACTGTGGGACGTGGATGCCGTTGCCCAGACCCTATCGCTTTGGTTCACGCAACCTGGGGTGGGTTTGCGTCCAACATTGCCTCAACAATAATTTATTCAGGTCGTATTGTACACAGTTGACTAAATTCAGCAAGCAATTAGGAAGTATGTCGCCACCCGGCTTTTTCTGTATTAGTGAAGGACATCCCACTCTTATAAAATAAAACGTAAGAATTGAAATGTCTCCGTGACTTAACCTCAAATATTACCACTAGGAAGGATGGAGACTAAATTTTCATTTTGAAATTAGTCACCAGCAGTACGGTTACTAAGGAAGGAAGCCATAGCAGCAGAGGCTACATGGCAAAGAATGATTTCGCATCGCTTCCTACACAGGCTATTGAAGCTTACCCCTGAGTGGCTATCCATTTTGATGTGATTCGAAAGGAGCAAAGGAAAGCACAATCTTTGGAAACGTAGCATATTTGTTATGAAATCATCACCGAAAATTCCCGACCAAATCAGTCCAGTTGACGACGCAAGTGGAAATGATTAATCGTTAGGGCCGAAAAATAGGTTTATTTAGTACCTGCGGTAAGCTGAGAAGGTAAAAACGGAAACCCATTTATACACATGAAATTCATTTGTTCATTCTATTATACGTCGACATTAAAATTTCACATACTACAAAGAAAAGGTTTGGAAACGGAAAATTCGTCCTGGTAATGCTTCCACTTCCAAGGCGTCCCATGGATGCTAGACGATTTTTGGGAAAAAAGATATCACTGGTTCATTGGTTCTTCAGCGCAGTCGTCAAGCCGCTAGAAGGCAGCCTTGGAAGCATATCAGCGGGACATAATTTGCTTCGCCATTCAAAGAAAGATATGAGATCACTTCAATAATGTTTGGATTAACTGAAAAAATGGAGGCTTAGGAAAACGTGTAAGCGTTCAGATTCACAAAGGAATACTACCGGCTTGTCTTTAATACATATCATATTTTGGTTCAGACCATTGAAATACTCAATTTTGGCATGTGTCAATTCAACAAAGCAGTGGGCATTTCAAACCACATTCGACTCAGCTTGCTTGCAATCACAACAAACCCCTGGACAAACCAGTGGTGGAGTTAAACACGAAGAATCTTTTATTAATATCTTAAAACATGCTAATATTTCAAAAAATCAAAGTTGTGAATAGTTAAACTGTTAGGACAAGCTCTTTGCATTGCTTCCAAACATTTACAAAAACAATTCTGCATAACAATTGGCGAACCATATCAATCATTTAGAGAATGATTCCACTGAAAAATCAAACAAAAATCCAGTTGAAAAAGGGAAGCTGATTACCAACCGAAGGACGACCTAAGCATCTATAAATAGGAAGGTTAATGAGCCTGGCGAATCGTTCAAGTCATATAAAACTAAAATTTTGGACAACTAAAGTTGGCAATCACGACAAGTCATAAGGTAAGTAAAAAATAGGTCTACACAAGAGGACATTAATAATAGACAACCAAATAGATTATCTGAAAAAGCAGAACAAATAGGCAAAATGAAAATAAACACAAGGAACAAGCATCTGCTAGATATAAAAAGTCCCCTTCGCTAAAACCACTGTCTAGATTTAATGAAACAATAAGCAACTTAATATATTCATAAAAATATCCAACGTTCAAAGCAAAGAAACGAACCGGGAACTCATCATTGTAGATGTCTGTCATGAATAGCGAGTTGAGAAAAGTCGACTTCCCAAGACCAGCTACACCAACGAGCATAATATTAAAAGTAAATCCTCTTTTGATAGTTTTCCGGTATATCTGTTTTGGCATTTTCGAGAAACCGACGTTAAAGATATTTTTGAATTGAACAGGCAATTTTCCGGGTAAGCTGTGCAGGCTGTCCTTAGTTAGTGTATTTTCTTTTTCAGATGTGTCATTTGCGAAAAGTTTTGACTTATAAGATATGCTGGACTGCGGCTTATCCGAGGACGCTTCAGAAGAAGATGAAGAAAAGTGATCTTTCGACAATACGCGACAGTTCGAAGTAGGGGTACTGGCATTTGTAACAACTTTGTTCATATTCGGCAATAAATTATCCGGTACTAGTTGGCAACGATTGTATAGCACGATAAAGCATGAAATTGAGGGAATTCACCACCAATTCGAAAAAGAGATCGTCGTGATCGATTCATCTGATACATTAGAACAGCATAATGTAACCTTACTATCTTAAAATAGTCCTGTTCGCATCCCTCTTACCATAATACCAAAGATTTAAATTTGGTAAATTTGAATTTTTACTAAAAAACCGAAGGTAGTGTTACAAAGTTACCCTTGTTTAGCTTGAAAATAAGTGACGTATACAGAAATTAAGGAACCGCACGACTGAAAGCATTTAAATGCTAATTTAAGTAGCAACTGCAACCTTTTGACACTTTTCATTATGTGACAAAATGCAGTGAAGAGAGCTCGATGTTTTTATATCGGGAAAAATGCGCAAAATTTTGGCATTGCCTGAAGCCCAACCCACCCATCAAAAGCAGTACGTACATCGAAGTAAACGTTGCTTAAGTGGATGCGGGATTTGGCAATGCACTACTTTGTTTAGGTGATCGCATGGTATCAGACGGTTGCTTTAAGATTCGTCTGGTCCTTGTACGCGTGAGCTGACCTTCGGACCAGGCTCAGGCCTAGACTCTTGTCTAAACTGGAATGCATTTATTCAGCTCCAATGTCCTTGAACCACGGACTTTAAGAGAAGGTTAGTTACAGTAGGTTTATTAGGCTCTGAATACGGCAAGAACGACGATAGGAGTTCAGGTGAGTCGAGTAGCGGATATTACGTGGGGAGGGATTCCTCATGATCCTCACGGACCGGATTTGTGTTAGAACCGACTTCCCGCCTCTCTTATAAAAGCCATCTTGGACACTTCAGTATGTATATCATCACTTACTGCCTTCTACCATGTGGGAAGTCTTAGAAAGCTCCACTAGTGAGAACAGAAAGCGAACTTGACATTTATTTAACTACTTCTGTCCTAATGTGTATTGTTTAGTGCAAAAGCAGTGGGTGGAGAACTTCTAAAATCTTCACAACAAAAGTTGGGAATGGTACTTGCGTTTGGCTTCACCTTGTCCCTGTGTTCCACAGACAATCCATTAACAATGAAGCTGCACGGAAGTGGACCACTTTAAAAAGTCCCGTGTCTGGATTTCCCCTACTACATCCGTGTATAGTTACCGTAAATGGCACTACAGCTCTCCTTGTAATGCTTTGTTTATGTGACGACCTGACGTTCTGCTGTCACTCTTGAATTTGTCTGGCCCTTGTACTCGTGGACCGACCTTCGAGCCATGTTCAGGCCCGTTTGCCCTGTTCTCTTCAGAGTACTTGTATCCAGCCTCATTTACTGCCTTCTTCCACCCTACGGGAAGTCTCTGGACGGGAAGCGAACCCGAAAATGTTCAACTACTTATACCCTAGCATGTACCGTCTGTTGCACGTACCTAAGGCGTGGAAAAGACGCATTTGCACCGATGGCGGAGACTCTCTGTAATCCACACAACGAAAGAGTCAAGACTGACGTCTACATCTGGCTTCACCTTATTCCTGTGTTTCGCAGACAAGCTATTAACAACTAAAGCAACATCACCGTAAACCATCTGGAGAAGTTTCGTGTTGGAATTTCTCCTACGCATTCCGCTGCCACCAGTGTAGCATTCCGAGACTTCCTAGCCGAAATAAGAAGTCGGAAAGTACAGCTAAATACATGTATTATGAAGATGACAGGACAAATGGGCCTAGACATGGCCCGGAGGCCAGCTCACGTGTACAAGGGCCTGACAAATCCAAAAGTGACCGTCAAACGTCAGGTAGTCACATAAACAAAGCATTACAGGAACCATTCGGAAAATTTTCGTATCGGACTTCCCTGATAAATCCGTGTATACGTGTCAGAAATGACACTACGGTTCTCCTTATATATGGGACAATGGCCATTCCCGTTTTCCCTGTAATACATCTGTTTTAGACCAGAGTTTCACCGTCTAGTCCTCGAATCAAATGATGCGGCAAGGAACTGGCTGTCAGACCAAACCTGATTCCAGATCCAGTCGAAGCTGCCGAGGACACCAAGTACGGTTCCACAGTCTCATGTTCTCTGTCGACTGGCGCAGTTGGCTAGTGAGTGCTTTCTAGCAGTACCGAATATGTTGTGGTGGCTGGCGAGGGAGGTGTATCAAAGTGAGCGCCGAGGACGTCGCTCGAAAAGAGAGAGGCAGTGCAATACTTTGTTTGTGTGACCACCTCGTGTCTGGCGGTAATTTTAAGATTCGGTTGGCCCTTGTGCGCAGGTTTTCGGGCCAAGGTCAAGCCCAGCTCCTCTATTCACGCTGGAATACATGTATTTTAGCTCCTCTTACTGCCTTCTTCGATCCTGTGGGAAGTCTCAGGACAGTGCAGGTAACGGCTGCCATTGGCTGCAATCGCAACATCGTAGTGCAGCACACCAAGACTTCCCACCGAGTAAAATTAGGTTTTAAGTGAAACTAAATATGTGCATTCTAAAGAGAGAAAGGGAATCAAACTTGAGCTTGGCCCTGAAAGCCAGCCCATGTGTACAAGGGACACAGTAATCACCAGACCTCAGGTGGTCACATAAACAACGTGTTACGGTGAGAACTCTCAGTAAGTAGGAGAATACCTAAGGTTTGGTTGACTACTTTCAAATAGAGAAATGAGGGAGGTGGAGCTCTAAAATTACTGGAAGACCAGGTTGCGTGACAGGAGCTGCGAAGCTCCCCAAGTGATTGCTGCCCATGCAGGCATTTGACTAAACAACGTATTATACTTCCCCATCATTCGTTTTAGCAACGGTCTTGGTGTTACTCGGTTAGTCCTCTCTATTTAGCCATCACAGCTAATGACTAACCAACCAAAATCCCTTACTTATCAGTTTTTTAGTGATTACATTTTGTACGACTGAAATGGTGAATTTGACGATCATCTTCATCTTTTGTCATGAATAGTTTGCCACCAACCAAGACAACCAGGGTTTAGGTTGTATGCAGATTAGGTTTGGCTTTCATTTTAATTAGCACAGGGTCTCGACACTTTCCCTTCACTAAATAATGTCACGTGGCTTGGCTAGTTGTAAGCTCTAGGATAGAAGGTGGAAGCAGTGGAACTCCTACATTGTTTAAAAGCCTATCTACTCAGCTGTTTATGTGGCTACCTGTATGCTCGACGGTTACTTTGGTATTCTTGTTGCTCCTGTTCCCGTGGACTGGTCTTCGGGCCAAGTTAAGGTCCACTCTCTTCATGCTATTTAAAAATACATGTAACTGTAGCGTCCCAAGACCTCTCAAAGGGTGGAAAAGGCAGCAAGTAGAGCTGACTGCATGTATTCCAGGGACAACAAAGGGATCAAACCTGAGCTTGGCTTAAAGGCCAGCACATGCATGCAAGGGTAAAAAGAATCTTAAAGTAACCACCAGATATCAGGTGATCACATTAAGAAAGTATTAGAGTACCCAGCTTAATCTAATACCATCTTTTATCTAGTGAAAAGTCTCGGCGTGCCACAGCTAAGATCGTCACGAAAGTTACCGCTACTCGTGCGGATTGTCACATTAACAAAGTGAACCGCAGCTTTCCAAAAATCGCCACTAAGTAAAGGAAGGCATTAACTTGAGCCGGATGCGTATATTTTTAAGAGACGAGGTTATTGCGCCTTAGTTTCAACCGAAAGCCAACGCACCTGAAGAGGGGCAAGACGAATATCTTGGTAACGCCTAGATTTCAGGTGGTCGCACACAAGATGTAACAGAGAAGTTTATTCGCTTAATAATTTTATTGCTTTGAATGAAGTCATTTACTTGGCTGTCTTGTATCGAGTAGGAAAATTACCTCCAGTTCATACCTAAAGTCGCAATATATTCAGACAAACTTTAATTTTTAAGGGACAAAAGAAGGCAAAGACAACAACAAAGGATGACTAACAGTGTAGCATCCCACGACTTCCCATAAAGGGAAAGAAGATAGTAAATGGGGCTGGATACATGTATTCCAAAGAGGACAAAGTGAATTGGCCTGAGCAAGGCTCGAAGGCCAGCCCATGAGTTTAGGGACCAGACCAATATTAAATTGACCACCGAACGTCGGGGAGTCACATAACCAAAGCATTACATGCAGCAAGTTATAACTTGGCATCGAAGTAAGCTCATAGTTCTTATTTATGTTTGGTTGCTAAAAACTATAAAAAATTACCTTGCTCCAACTTTGTTTACATGTATTGATGTTTTTCGACATTAAACTTAAGGGTTGTTGCATCAAAGGAATTGCGATCAAGTAAATATTCGTGGTTGTTTAAATTTATTTCTCTGTGTGCGGTCAGTTCTGCCTCAAGGCCTTTGAGTTGCGTCATTTAGTGTCCTTGAAAAGTTTACAAATTTTTCTAAGAAGACAAGGATGGTAAGTGAGTTTAGGCGTACTTACTACTGATTTTAGGCTAGAAGTGCAGAAAAAGCGATGTAACGCTTGATTTTGTGCGAAGTTTATAACTTCTAGGACCGCCTTGGCACGCTGGCGAGCAGCCTACGTAGACAAGATCAATGAGATTAAAAAGCGTCCTCACTTTGCCGGTGATTGTGAAATTCTTAAGGATGCCATGTATTTTCGACGTCAGGTCGTTCATGAGATATCGCGCAAAATCGCTCAAATCCAAAATCGTAAGTTTTGACCCGTCAGCACCAATCTCTTTCTCTTATAGCCAGCCTTGGAGAGTATAAATTACGGGATTTAAATGACGAAATCAACAAGCTTATCCGTGAGAAGGATAGGTGGGACGTTCGGATCAAGGAGCTTGGTGGACCAGACTATCGGGAAGATGGTCCTAAACTTCTAGAAAAAGATGGAAAGGAGGCTCCAGGGAACCGAGGTTATCGATATTTCGGCGCTGCACGAGATTTGCCCGGTGTTAGAGAGCTATTTGAAGACCAACGTGAGTCTTATTATTATTTGGTTCCTCCCTTTTTGAAGATTTTACTAATCGTTTTTTGTCACTCAGCACAACCGATACCTAGAAAAACACGGGGTGAGCTGATGAAATCTGTTGATATCTCATACTACGGTAACTGCGATGAGGACGATGGAGTCATTCTCCCTCAGGAAGCGGCCTACGAAGAGAAGCGTAAGTTTACTGATTGTTTTTTTTATTTAGTTTTTCTTGCTTCTTTTGTGCTGTGCATCTCTAGTTATCGGAGAAACTGGGTCATTTTATTCCACCTTTTTTTAAATCTGGATCCCACTTGATTTTGTTCTGGTGGTTTTATTGTTGTTAAAGCATCGTCACCTTCACATGTGGTTTCATATGTTGATCAATGTACCATTTCATAAACGCCTCAGTCTTCACAAAAATCCAATATGCAGATTCTCCCAGGTTCTTTGCTTATGTGGAGCTTTAATAGGTATTGCATACTACTTCTGATTTGTTGGAAGTCCGCGATGTAGTTATGCATTTTGCGAACTGTTGACTTATCTAAATCATCTGAAACTTTTCTGATGTGTTCGCTGAAGACTGTGGTAAAAACGAAGGTTTTGTGTTTCATAGTCTGTAAAGTTGTTTGCACTTAAGTTATCGGTTGTCACCTCTCAGCTTTTACGCCTCTGATTTACTGCCTAACTTTGAACTTGAGTCGTTGCACGATGCATTTTAATTTAGACTTCCAAGTAGTTTCGAAGTCCTGGGACTGTGGCATACGTGTTATGTAGTATTGTATTGCGGAAAATGCAGAGGTGCTGCCAGTGGAAGTTAAGGGTTCTGCTAAAGCCTATCATTGGCAAGTCAGTTCCGATATCACAAATGCATCACTTTGCAAAGGACTGTGGGCCTTTAATAAAAGGGGATATCTTGTCATCGCTTTAAGCAGTTTGGAAATGTTGTTCCCGAAACATTTTTGCAAATGTCTGATAGGATTGAAAGGACGATTTACCTAAACCTTCTTGGATTCGGACTAACTAACTTGAGTGATTTCAACTTCCTGCTTGGAAAAGGTCATTAGTTACTCTCTCGTGATTTGACGTATCTACTATTTTACCTTTTCTTTAAGCGGGCAAACGCTAGCATGAGTTGTCTCGTAATGTTAACTCAATTCTCGTGGCACACCAAAAGGACTGGTGCTACCTTTTTTAGAAAATGCTGTTTATCTTTCAAGCATTTTTTTGAACAGAGATGGTTTTCTTTATAATTTCGTTCCTGCCGAAGAACCCTACGGCCTTTTTCGCTCCAATTGGATAGGAATGCCTAATTGGTTCGAATAAGGTCTTGGTCCTATAGAACACTTCACTTCAATCACGGAAAAGTGTTTCGCCAATCGTAGTTAGTGGTCCGTGAAGGAGTTTTACCTACTGACATCGGCTTTAGTAGCTGAATCTTTCATTACTCCAGTGATGGCAAAGAAGGCGGAGGTGTGGCGCCGTCGTCACGCGGACGAAGTGGCCGGTCGCAAAGCCGCTTACTACAAGACTCCCGAGCAGTTGGCTGAAGAGGCAGAGGTGGACGAAGACAATCCTGATGATAAGGATATCTACGATACTGGGGACAATGTACGTCCGGTGTCTTTCTGAGCTGCCTCATTCTTGAAGTGTGGAGTGTTTGTGATTGATAATTTTTTTTATTTAATTGTTCTAGACCTTCCTAAGCCTTAGCTAGGTTTTGTCCTTTATAACGCTATTTCGGGGGAACATTAATTTTATTTTCTAGGCCTACCTGTATGGTAGACGTCCCAGACCCTCACGTTTGTATTAGGCACTGCCAGACATTTCTAGGCTTCACGGCGTCCTGTTTTCGTAGTGATTTGATGGATTTGTTGGAGGACTTTAAAGTTGGATGTTAGCCATGATTGCACTAATGCTGTCCTTATTAATGGGCAACAATAGCAAGTATTTCGGGTCTCCAAGTCGGTAATGAATTCAGGGTTTTCGCCTTGGTTTCCATTTCTTTTTGAGAAATTCTTCACTCTCTACGCACCTAACAACATTAACTTTTATCACATTTCATTGTTTTGAGCTTTCTTTTCCATATTTAACTCATTTATAATGTATGCCCAGTTTATGTAATGCTATCCTCTCCCAAAGCCATGTCTGTGACAGAACAAACCCTCCTTTTGGAATCCTTTAGCCTGCAGATACGGAGTTATTAAAGCTCTACGCGACCGCAGAACGCGACTCTGAGGCAAAGCGTCTGCTTGAATCGGAGGGCACAGTGCACGCCTCTTTGGCCATGGCCCTCTCTTCTACGGACGTGGATGCGATAGAAGCGGAGCGCGAACTCACTCTGGATGAGTTGCTGGCAAAAACAGGCGCTCGTCCACCCGGTCACCTTAAGCGCGCTTTTGTAGCCCACGCACCCATACCGAGCCAAAAAGAGGTGTGTTGCAGCCATAAAACATGTTTACTTTCTGGAATTGAATCCGGTCCCTACAGCGTGGAGAGGAGTGAATTTTCGCTTTTGACACTGCTCTTTAGAGGTCCTAACGAGTGGTTAGTTGACTTTTAGGTGGAAGAGGCGTTGGTAGAGAAGAGGAAACGTGAACTACTGGAGCAGTACATGACTCCTGAGTTCATTGAGAGCATTCAAGACACTGGAAAACTGTTGGGTGTGGACAAGATGAGAGATGACGTAGAAGTGGAGTCACAGGAGGATGGCGAAGGAGAAGCCCAGAAGACAGCAGCAGCAGCAGCAGCAGCAGCAACGGTGGAGGAAAGTGAAGAACCTAATGTACAGAATGAGTGTGAAACTGTGAAGTAAAAGTTGTGATGTTTATTAATTCTTCAGACTGCCTTTGCTTCTATCCTACGAGATTTATGGATTTGGTTCAGATCAAGTCAGGAGGAGGCACGCACTTCACTTTAATCCTGATTTTGTAAATTTTTGATGTCCCATTAAGGTGTCACAGATCTAAGAGATACTAACTCGATCTCCTTCGCCATAATTGAGGCGACGCAGAATCGGTGCTTTCCTTGGTTGACCAAACAAGATTGATGATTGCCTAATCCGCCTTTTATCTTTTCAGTTGATGTTCGATTCTCCTTGGCATTGACTGATTGTTATCACCATTGGCAGCACATGTTTGTCATATCTGAGGCAGCACGACAAGGTTCTGGAGGATTACTGGTTTCAGTGAGGACGTAGTTTCCAACGCATCTGAACCAACCAGTTACATCCGCTCTGATGCGATCGGCTGGCTGTAGGCTGAGAAGGGCACTCTCAATGGCTCTGGACTGATCATACTTTCTCCTGTTTACCAGTCAAGTCTTCAGGACATTCTTAGGTGATGGCATCCATGAATGTGGCTTCTAAACCTTTGTTTGATAGATGGGCGAGAATCCATTTTAACTGCCATCAGGATTGATGATGGGAGGGTCAACTGTCCCTGCCCACAGTAGTGCCGAGGTAGCACTTCTTTCCATACGACAGGTCAGAATTTGGGGTCTTGAGGCAACTTCAGCTCCTCTATTTGAACCTGGGGGAGATAATGAACCGAGGTTAATGTTGTAGTGGGATTCAATCCACATAAATATTAGATCATAATATGTATTTGGGTAGGAGGAAGATCTGGTTCAAAGATAAAAAGTTAGCTTAAAAAATGTTTCAACCATCCCAAGAAAGCATTAATTTTGATTATTGCATTAAGTTTCGCAAAACAACTATTGAATCTACTTATATTTGGTATTTAAGTAGTATCTGGTATGTTAAGAGCCACCAAAAGCTGCAACCATGTAGTTAGGCATCGGAAGCGAATGCGGAAGTAGCGAACAACGCCACGATGAGAACCACAGCTGCCATGGGTGGTAAAGGCATCCGAGACGGGTAGGAGTAGTGTGTGCATGAAATCTGATACGTGTGATGACAGCTGCATCACAGGATTTTGCTACATTCTATGCATTTCTCCTCGTCTACGGGCTTCACGCCATGCTAGTACGTTGCCACGATACCGTAGGAAAGGAGAGGGGGAAGTGAGGATGAGAGAGAGCTGCAGCACACACAATCCACGCAACTCTAATGGTAGTACAGATAAAGGATCACTGTGGGTTTCCGACTGTATAAGCTGACTCTTTCAATCACCGACTTTTTATTATTCCTTTCTTCTGCTCTTCCTCTCCTTGCCCCTTTCTTTCCTTTTCCTTTCGTTTACACACTAAATCCATGTATCAGCTACGATTGGAAACAAAAGAGCCGCAATCTTAATAACGTCCCAATCAGATGGCACTACCCTTCTTCACTGTGTAGTCATCATCGGCTCCGTAGGCGCCTATCTTTTGCTACTACTCCAGGTTGCTAAGTGCGCTTTCTCTTGATAACCACATCTACAGCTTTGGCAAGAGTAGCATTGCTTTCCAAAGCGGATCCTTGAAATTGGAGCAATTAATTAAGGAAGTTTGGCTATTCTAAGGCACATTCGAGGATGTTTAAACTTTGATGTGAAAGAGGTAAAATGCTCTCCTCTACCACGAGACTGTTGTAATGTGGTCGTTTGCCACCTTAGGCTTGCAATCGAAAAAATGGATGCTACACTGCAATTCTTACTTTTCAAATGCTATAATTTTAAAGGATTTGAATTGATGTCTTTTGCATCACTCACTTTGAGTCTATTTTACGTATTTTGCATCGTATTGTTTGATGATGAGAACCAAATTGGGGTCAAATTATTTTTTAAGTTAACTTGCACACCTATGGTGATGGTGGCCACCTTGGCCATTTATTTAATTGAGAGGTCGTATTTTGGAGATCGTTTTACCCTTGAAAGTCGTAAGATTTGGGGATGCTGAAATGACATAAGTAGCAAATGCATTTAGTAATGGGCAAATTCGTGGCTACTGTTTTGTCTTCACTTCTGACGTTGGATTCTCGTAAGGCTTACAGCGTCTTGCAATGAAAACATTTACTTTATTTCTGGCTAAATTTAACTAATAGCATCGGAATTTTTAAGTGGTAAAGTTTACGCTAGCCTTTTTTGCGAATAAGTGGTGTCGTGGTAAAATTTTTGGGCTTTGTTATGCTCTCAGGTCAAGGCACTAGACAGTACTGATGAACTTAAATACATATAGATGTCTGTAGAAGTTGTTGAAACCACTTGCATATATTGTAGACGTCCGAATTGTTTGCCCTGTGAAAGAAAACGAAAAGCTAAACACTAAGATAAATGTCACCGAAGGGTTGGTGAAATGGCCATTGATTCGTGGCCAGTGAACAGGCACAGTGCAGTCGTCTTCAAAGGCAGCTTCGCTGGTGCAGCTTTGGACTTTGGAACACGACCTGTTTTGGGGTCGCCTGGGGTAGGCCTGGATGTCACCAGTGGTGGAGTGTGAGTGGTCTCCGGAACTGCGCAAAAGCTGATAAAATCACTATACACGGACCCAGCTTTGACATTCCTTGCCAAATACACTAGGCTAAAATAAAATATTAATTCATTGGCCGTATCCTAGCTTCATGCCCCTGAAGGTACATCATTGAAGGGAATCTAACAAAACCATTAGGAAGTGAGGAACTGACATTCAAGGTTAAGGTGATTGATTAGTTTCAAAGGTTTTGCAGGTCATTTTATGTTGTACAAGTCTTGTGTCTCTTTCCACATTTCTCCTCAACTTTAAGTTGGGCCAATCAACGAGTCAAGGCATTTCACACGCATTGGAGGCTGTAGTGTGGACAAATCGTAGTGATAAGTTGATAACCACATTGATAAAGCCTTTGATTTGAACGTTCAAGTCAGTTCGAGTCACTTTTTGTCTCTACAAGCAAGCAACTCCGCCTTGGTCCGCCTTGACAATAAGCCTTCGTCTAGTTCCATGCAAAATAGGCATTGACCAGCAGTGGGGAAAATATCGCCAGGGAAGTGAGAGAGGTGAAGCGACGCCTTCTCCTCCTCCTCCTCCTCCTCCTCCTCCTTTCTCCTTCGCCAAAGCGCAATGTAAAATCTCCTCCAATGGAACACGTACAAGAGGCTTTTTTATGTTCCTCCGCCAAAAAAGCCTTCCTTGTGTCGGACATCTCCCCTGTCCGCTCAGTATGCATTCGTTCACCACTAAGGGAGGACAGGCACGGAGGAGCAGGAAGAGATTGAACCTCATTTTTTTCACTTAAAGTGCAGTTTACTGGAAGTTGAATGCTAGTTTTGAGGATTACTTTTATGAGTATGATTTTTCGGACGCCTTTATAAAGCTTTTCATGTTGATTGGGTTCTTCTAAAGATTGAAACGTTCCGTCAATTCCATACACTGTGCAAGCACATGGTCCTTGTTTACTTCCTCACCACGCCTTTCACCCTCCAAGCTCAATTTTAACAACTCCAAAATTCGAATCATCTGACCGGACTTTATTGCTATTATTAGTATTATTATTTGTTATGGAGGATTTAGTGATCTTCCGCAAGGAACCAGGCTTTAGTGCATCTTTCTTGAGGGTCGAACGACAAGGCTAATGGGTGTCGGTGAAGGTTGTGTCACTCTGTTGGGTCAGAAGATTATAAAAGTGATTAAATAAGGCGGAAAGTAGGGAAGAATATATTTTTTTATTTTTTCCCATGCTTCAAATTCACCCCAATTTGTGCACGGACGAGGCTCGATAATGAAACAAAGTGCCTGAGATATTTTACTGTTTTGAGATTTGATGGGCTAAAAGAACCGCTAAAGTTTTATTGGTCACAAAGAAGTTCTGAGAAGTACGAGAGGCATACACATCGCATCTTGATTAATTCTCTAAGCAAAAGTTGTCTTTGCGTGAACAAACCCATCAGACTCTGGTTTCAGCTCCCTACTTTCTTTCAAAGTAAGTAGTATGTTATTACCCAAAAAATTTCATTGCATAGCCTCGCAAAAACACATCAAAATAGCGGTAGAAATTATGATTGTATTGATTTGTCAAATTTATTTAGTAGCTTTCCACCACAGCATCATTTTTCTAAATCACAGCCGCTTGACCTTTTCGTTGACATGATGGCGTAAATGCCGCTCCAAATTGGTGCGTTGAGCGAAGGCACGAGAACAGTGTGGACACACAAAAGGGCGTTCAAGTTGGTGAATGTTGCGTACATGACGTTGCATATTGGAGGAGATGCTGAAGCGTCGGTTGCACTCGCTACAGCAGTAGGGTTGCTCACCCGTATGCGTGCGCAAGTGGCGGTTGAGGTTGGCGGAGCGTGGAAACACTTTGTGGCAGTGTGGACACTGGTAACGCGACTTTGTGGCCGGCGACACTAGCTCCTCTCCTGTTGACGGCTTTTTGCTAGAGGCTGATGTTGATTTAATTGATGCTAAGGTAAAGACAAGGGACGAAACGGTGGGCTTTTAAAACAGGATTTCGAAATGAACACTCGAATATAGGACTGGTTTAGTGAAGTCCTCAATAAAAGAACGGACACATGGATGAGTAAAATCTGATGCCTCAACAAGCCCTTCAGTACTTGCATCTGTCGGGTAGCCACTCAGGTAGATCGAGAATAGGGGAAAGAGGGACTCACCAACTGGTTCACTCGTCTTAGCTTTCACCATGGCTAAATCGATGGCAGCAGTGGTGCTGTCTCGGGTACCATTTCTGTGGATGGCGTTGTCAAATGAGAGCATACCGAGTAACCAAGAGCTGTAGTAGCAGTTGAGCATTGACAGAGCTGGTGACGATGGCAGAGGAGGGGCTAGTGATGCTACCTGATGGACGGGTGACTTAAATTGTGGCGACTGCTCAACCGTTTTCTTCATTGTCGCCTTACCTCTGTTGCCGCCATTGATGCTTAGATCAAGTGCATACATGGAGTCTGAAGGAATGAAAAAAATGATCAAAAGGTAAAAAATTAATGAGTTAGGAGAAATTAAAAATTTATTTGAATGAAATGATAACGGTGGCCCTCTTAGCAGAGTAGTCCTGCTCAGGTACTTCAGAATTGTTACAATCCGAGTTGTCTGACCGGAATGTGATGCAGCAGTTTCCTCTTCCTCTTCATCACATCACTATGACAACGCGCGAGCATAATGTGGAGCACCGTAGACGAGGAGAAATGCATAGAATGTAGCAAAATCCAATGATGCAGCTGTCATCACACGTATCAGATTTCATGCACACACTACTCCTACCCGTCTCGAATGCCCTTACCACCCATGGCAGCTGTGGTTCTCATCGTGGTGTTGTTCGCTACTTCCTCATCCGCTTGCGATGCCTAACGACATGGTCGCAGCTTTTGGTGGCTCTTAACACAGCAGACGCTACTTAAATGTTAAATATAAGTAGGCTCGATTATGTTTGGAAAAATTTTGAACACGAGCTAAAATGCTGCTTACTCTGGCCTCCGTTGGCGCCCATAATATTAAAAGGAATTTTTAAGTTAACAAAATTGAGGTAGAAGTCAGTCTGTTCTCTTCACTTTGACATTTGCAATTTGCAACTAGCAGTTGCCAAGCCCACCTATTACATCAAACTGTTGATGGGTGGAAACACTTACACACCATTCATAATAGCTAGCACTTACCTCTCCTACCACGGGACTGCATGAAGAAAAGATACTGATCCATTCTAGGCTAATATGTAAGGATTTCTAAAAGAGCTTGCTTTATCAAATGTCGTTTTTCATTGGCCTAAAGCGAAGACTGCAACCATTTTAATGCATTTCTTGCGTATGTTGAGAGAGGCAAAGCAGCGTGAAGGAGGCTAAAACCTTTAATGGCCACTAGTTATTACTTATCAATTATATTCTGCATATTACTTTAAAGTTTCTTGGTCTAGTACTTTATGCTTTGCATTGAATTGTATTGGAGGGAAGTTAGGAAGGCAAAGCATAAAGTACTAGACCATGTCTTCACTCAAAATGACACTTTAAGGGAAAAGAAGATGGCAACCTCATGCATCCTCCATTTTAAGCACTGCTGTAAAATTCCATCGACTTCCATACAAGGGCTTCCAAGCAAGGCAAAATGGAGCCAACAAGGAATTCGATTAGCCAAAAACTTTTTCATAGCAAATATTTGCCTTTTTGACTTTGTATTTTCATAGTAAATAACCAAGGCTCAGCCAAAATACAAATTAGAGGAATGAGGTTGACAGCCAACTTAAAGCCTAATTTTGAGTAATATTGTATGGCTTCGAAGAACTTAAAATCGAACCCTCCCTATGGCAACACTTTGTTGATTGATTTATTGACTAATCGCCCGTTCCGTTTGCATCCCTCACCCGGACGTCACTTAACTGCTCTTGTCTGCTTCGAGAGTTTAACTTCTTCCAAAGTGTTTGCCTCACTTGAATGCAGTATCGGTGAAGGTTCTATCCATTCGAGGCTTAGAAACTTTTGTGTTGTTGCCGACTGCATGCTTCAAGAGTGGCGTTTCTCAAGATTAGCCATGTGTAGTAGGAAGTGAATGAAGTCAGTAGCATCAACCATTTGAAGAGACTATGGACACAGCTGCGGCCTATTTGCCACACTGCAAACGGCGGACGGTCATCATCATTTGGCTATCGCTTACTCCATTTGACAGCTTTAAACGCTTCAGTGCGTGTGGCTGTGGTGGACAGCTTCCATTGGGATCCACCCGGTTTCGCGTATATTCATTCAAGTTTGATCAATGTTTTGTCTAATCATTCATGGCAGTAGGATCTACCTGAATCAGAGTTTGTCGTAGCACAAAGTGCTGGCAATTAAGACAAAACAGAACATAACGAAACACTTTGAAGGCAAAGTTTGTGCATTTTTTTGCAGACTGCAATCTAACTAATGCGTATTTCCTAAGTTCATTGCAAGAAATCACATCACGTGGAGCCATAAATCGGACCATCGACCACCTCCATCCATCTCTGTTATCACTCAGTCACCGCGAGGTAGCTGCGGCCGCTACCTCTGCCTACATTCGTTAGCATCCTTGTTATTCTTAGTGGTAGTGCTACTTGCAATGGCATTCCATGGTCCTTGTGTAAGCGGTACAAAGTACCCTACAATCTGCGCATGCTGTCATCGAGCATGCCAAGAACATCCACATTTAGAGATTGCGAGCAAGAGCGCAAAGTAGCGAATGGCATCGGGTTTCATCCGCCTGGTGGCGCTCTACAGGTGTACGCTTTGAGGGTAAGTTGATACATCGCGAACGCGTGCACACAACCCCCATGCAGCCCCCTGTTATGCCCAATGCAATAACAAATGGAAGGACAAAGCGTAGCACAGGTTGGGACAGCACAAAGATCACACGATTGTAGTCTTCCCTATAAAAGATGAGTGAAGTAGAATGTGTCCCTCTCCGATGAGCCTGACCACTGGTCACCACTTAACAAGAAAGAGAGAATTTCATAGCATTGGCGGACGGGTGTAGGATTATAAAAGCTAGGTTAGTGAAGTATGGAAATTGAATTGCTTTTTTGTTGTATGGGTGGATAAAGCAGAATTATTGAGGTTGTGCTAAGTTATGTCACCACTTTGTGCCTGAAGTGGTTGCCCATTAAAGAGAATAAAGCTTGTCCAAAATGCAGCCTCACCACTAAAAATCTCAAACCTTGTGCCCTCATTCCCCTGATTTTGAAGATCTTTACCCAGGAAGCGTAGAGAAAGACGCTTAAAGGGGGAGGAGAGTAAAAGTGGACAAGTTGATCTTGCGCACCCCATTCTTTGCTACTAGTCTTCCGACGAAATGAGTTAAAGTTAAATTTAAGAAGTTAGTAAAAGTGTTTAATTACACAAAGAATTTGTAGACTGCACCAAAGGAGAAATGTACGAATTTTAAACACTTAATAAAGAGAAGTCATCTGCCAATATTCCGCAGATGTTGAAGTCGGGCATTTCACATCACTAGTGTTCTGGAAGGAGAATTCATTGAAAATGCAGCGGTACGTGACAAATCTAGAAACAGATTGGTCATTGAAATAATTAATTTGGATTTCATCTCTTCAATGACTCCTCAGGTCTTTATTTCTTCCGCTAAAAAGAAATAATGAAGCCTTCGGGAATTTTTGGGAAGGATTACTACCATAGTTACCGTGAGGTAATGTTTTCCCTTAGGTTGCTGAGATTCATGTAATTTCCTGCGCTTTTTATTCGATACATCGTTGACGGTGGGGAGCGCGCCCGATTCCGAAGAGGCATCGTTACTGAGGCAGCAAATGGTATCGTTAAAAAGGAAACTTGTGTTGTGAAAGGATGCGTAAGCATGTTAAATACTTTTAATTTGCTTTAATATCCAAGCGCTTCAATGTCCATACAAATTAATTTGACCTTCAGGCCCATCTCTTTGCCAAGAAGAGGAAGACAGTCTCTCGTAAACGAACGCTCTTGACATACGGTAAGGGGACGGTCACTCGAAAACACTGAATAATAGCTAATGCATTTAAAAGCTTCCACTTTTGACCAGTATGGAGAGGATCAAGTGCATGAGAGGGTGCTCTTTTTTACCCTTCCAACCCCTGTTAGTCCAGCTGGTTAAAGCACTCAAGTATCAGAATAAGGCAAAATGCCATACAACGTTAACAGAAAGATGGCGAGCAGCAATGAAAGGGGAGGCTGAGGGTCCAACTGATGGAAAGGTTAAAATCTTGACCGATAGTAAAGACGGTAATCATTTAAGCAGGTCTATAGGACGAACCTTGAATAGTTCATTTTAAAATTGTGTTGATTTTCTTAGTTTACTTATAAAATTCGATTATTTACCTGTGCAAAATAAGTTAAGCAAATGAGCTAATATGACATATGTCATTAATACATATGTGTAGCCAAGAGGTATAAAGATTTTCCAACAAAGTCGTCGTAATATTTTAATAAAACAGGCAATTTGGAAGTTCGGATAATCTATTTAAAGGTCTCTTCCCACCGTTAAAAACAAAAGGCAGCAAGGAACCAAAAAAACAGCAGGCAAAAACGCACTTACTTGCTCTTGTCACCGATGGAAATATTACACTTTTTTGTGGCAATCCGAATTTGGTTTATCGCAGAAAGGCGTCTCCCATGTCTACAGGTGCGCACTTGCACCCATCTGCCAATGAGACACGCGCATCATGCTGACGCGCGAAGAGGGGGTTACACATCCTGCTACCTTATTGGCTGTTGGAATGGTCGCGTGTGCGCACAACCTAAACCAGTGATTTTTCAACCCTGTGATTTTAAAAGCAGGTAAAATAATTAATTTATAAAAGATTGGTCCATAAAAAATGTTACTATTAGAATTTAGCGCTTTTCGTTTCCTACTTGTTTTCAAATAATTGATTAATTTAAGGACTTCCGCCAGACTGCATTTGTAAACAGAATAAAAGACACCGTTAAGGCTAAATCGTTCCGTGTCAAAAACTACATGAAGACACTTAATGGTTGCAACAGATTTGTGTCATAGAATGCGTATCGCAGACGGAAATGTCGCCCCCTTTCTCTTTTCTGCAAGGAACTACTTTAGCTCAGACCACGCGATAATTTAACTTTTTACAACGATTCCGATCCATGATAGTGCAAAAAAGAAAGCACAGCGTTAGTTGAAATCTAAAA